GCTTGCCGTGAGGGTGCTCAGAGTAAGATCAAAAACCTTGAATTTAAGGACTAGTGTCTAGTGATTTAGATCTGACTGCAATTACGTCACTGTTTTTTGTTAGTTTGTTGTCCTAAGTCTTCATTAGATGAGTTAAAGAAGTACTCTGGTCTATATTTTTATATTACCAATATTTAAAAAATTTGTTACGGTAAGTACATTTTCAAGTTTCATGTGTAGAAGCTAAATTAAAAGTCAAATTTATACTTACTCAGAATCTCTTCTGAGTTTTTCAATTCAAATAGTGATGTCTAAACCTCAAGATAATTTTACGTTCTTTAGTTTATTTAACAATTCTGTTTCCCTGCCTGACTTTTCATACCACCTCTCCACCTTTTCTATAGATTTCTTTACAGAGCATCTCTATCTATAGGCAGGTTACTCAGTCAGTTGTTTACTGGTTTTCCTGCTGCCTTCATTAGAGTGTAGGCTTCCTGAGAGTGGGGTCCCTTCTGCCTGCACCGCTGGGTCTTGGAGCCTGGAGCAGCACATCGTAACTCAGCTAAGCATTTGTTGAATTGCGTGAAAGAATGACTATCTCCGAGTAGGTTTTACAACCCTGCCAACTTTCCAACCTATTTTATTACTATAAATGGACAATTTTCAGTAGAGCTTTATTGTTAGAAAGGCCTCTCTTTTCTGAGTGATTGCAGGGATTTCAGTTGTGTGTGGATTCACAGCAGGCGCCTACTTCATCCTGGGTCACTCACATGCAGGGCAGCCGTACAACAGAGGTACATTCAAGTGTCTAAGTATTTAACAGCTATAAATGAAGCTAACAGTTGTTAAATACATTTTCTCTTTCCTCCCACATTGATAAATGTACCTTCATAATGACAAAAGTAAAACATGTTTAAAGCAATGGTTTTTGTGTGACAGAAATTTGGTGAAATATGACTAAATCTATTTAAGCACACATCTGTGTTCTGTTGATGGCTGCTGATTTTGGGTGAAATATAAAAAAAGACATAATTCATAAATGTATCTGTAAGTCTGTTTTTCACTTCAGCAAAATCACTGTGTTATCAAGGTTTTGGCCAGTCATCAACAGGATTAAAAAAAATAATTGTATTCAATATTATTGTATTAAATATTATTTGAATAGGTTTTCACTAAAATACAAACACTAGAAAAATTAAGATTATTTAATATATGTATTTCAAAAGTTTTTCTTCTGAAATATTCAAAATTAAAATTAAAAAGTAAAGCAAATTATTGATGGATATCAACATTTTAACAAATTCTTTAAATATATCTGATGTTTTAAATTTATTTTTTGAAAATTTAATAAAAAGTATCAGTACTTTAGTAAAAACAAACTGATTTAAATTCCTGTGTTCAATGTCCATCTTTTTCCAGTATAAAGAATTGGTATCATATTTCATGCCTGCTACTGCAAATTCATAAGAATGCACATTTATATTTAATATTGCAAGATGTTTCTCAACAGTTGTGGACAATTGTGTTGAATATCACCCTAAGACATAAGAACCTCCAGAACCACAAATTAGAACATGAAGAGAAGCAAGAAAATGGACCTTCAGCCTCCTGGGAAATTATAATAAGTTGTGCAAGAACCTACTGCATTCACAATATCTCGGAGGAGAGATTGACAATTAATTCACTCAGTTTTTCTCTTACCTCAGTGTTTGTGACATTCACCTCCTTCCCATAATCCAAATCAATGTCTGCCTTTGACTTTGGCAGTGGCACAACTCACTAACCGTCCTGGCATTTGTACTAAAGTGCCTTTTGTTTTGAGGACAAAGGGCAAGAGATGTGGAGAAAGTTTGCCTGGGGCCTGAAGAGTGTCAGTCACAGAGTGGGTGCATCCTAGTGGCACAGGTGCTAAGGCACAGGCCAGGTCCTCCCTAACCTGAGTCTCAGGGCAGGCCTGGATGTGCCCACACCCTGGGTCTTAGTCCACTGGGGCTGCTGTAACAATACAATAGACTGGGTGGCTTATAAACAAAAAAATCTCACAGTTCTGCAGATTCAGTGTCTGGTAAGGCCTGCTTCCTGGTTCAAAGACAGCTCTCTTCTCACTGTGTTCTTTCACAGCAGAAGGGGAAGGGGAGCTCTGTAGGGTCTGATAAGGAAATGAATCCCCAATTCCCTAATCATCTCCCAAAGGCCTCACTTGCAAATATCATCACATTGGGGATTAGGTTTCAACATATAACATACTGAAGGAGGGCTGAATATGCCAACCCCAAAAAACACCCCTTTGGTATAAGGGTTATTTTGAGGTAACTTGAGAAACAGCAGCCACAAAAGAAGCTCTGGAAAGAGAAGTTAGCCTTTTGTAAGGGAAGTTTACGTTTATAAAGGAAATCTCCAATCGCTATTTGGAAGGCTGTCTCCCTCTACTGGGAAGAGAAGGTTGGCTAAATCGTAGAGACCCATCAATGGAGAAGGCACCTGCCTATAACTGGCCTCCCCGGCACCTTTTCTTTTCTTTTTTTTTTTTGAGGAAGATTAGCCCTGAGCTAACTGCTGCCATTCCTCCTGTTTTTGCTGAGGAAGACTGGCCCTGAGTTAACATCCATGCCCACTCTACGTTATATGTGGGACACGTGCCACAGCATGGCTGGCTAAGTGGTGCATAGGTCCACACCTGGGATCTGAAACGGGGAACCCTGGGCCACTGAAGTGGACTATGTGAACTTAACCACTGTGCCGCCGGGCTGGCCCCCAACTTTTCTTTTTTTGATTTAGCTGAAGATAGTATTTAAGCCTGAAACCTAAGCCACCTCCTTCAGAGTTACTGATTTTTCCCTGGGTATCTTTCATGAATGCAGATGCATATTAAAAAACTTCTTTGTTTTTCTCTTATTAATCTGTCTTTTGTTACAGGGGCCCCAGCCGAGAACTTAAAACGATAGAGGAAAAACGTATTTTTCCTTTCCTCCAATATGAATTTTTTTTTGTGAAGATTAGCCCTGAGCTAACATCTGCTGCCGATCCTCTTTTTGCTGAGGAAGACTGGCCCTGAGCTAACATCCATGCCCATCTTCCTCTACTTTATATGTGGGACGCCTACCACAGCATGGCGTGCCAAGTGGTGCCATGTCCGCAGCAGGGATCTGAACCAGCAAACCCTGGGCCGCCGAAGCAGAACATGAGAACTTAATGCTGTGCCACTGGGCCGGCCCCTACAATATGAATTTTGGGGGAGACATTCAGTCTGTAATACCCTGGTTATGAAATTTTATTTATTACAAATATATTAGCTCAGGTCTAGGCAATAAATGAAGTCTTAGTCTCTTAGAATTGTTTGGTAAAATGTGAGTGAGTGGGGGAGAAAGATGGTGTCATACCATCGTGATCCTCCTTGTATTACATGATTTTTAAAATGATGTTACTCTTTCTCCTACAAGGATTTAATGAGCGAGGACATTTTTGTAAGTACACTATCCTTCCCATTCATTATCTACTCATCACATAAAATCAAATTTGGCACTATCGTTTCTCCACCTCGGTTCTAATATACATTTTATGAATCATATTTCATCTGACTGTGTGTCACGGATGAAGATTTAGGAGATGAGTTTTGTACTGCCAGTGATGGTCACCGGGAGAAGCATGACTTGGGAGTTTATTCCATTTTGGCAGGACCAGACATGTCTCTATAGCCTTGGTGTGAGGTGACGGAGGGGTTAGCCAGGGCAACAGAAGTACTTCCCATCCCAGAGTCAAGGGTTTTGGGGGTACAGAAGGGGAAAATATCTCTGATTAATTCATGCCTACGTGTATTATTAGGTGCACTGAGGTTGGAGTAGGTTTAGGGCCGTCCTTAGGTGATGGGAAGGCGTGAGATCAGATGCATGAACATGTCATGTGAACAAGTGAAGCAAGTGCACATTCGCTTATATAATTAATGTGTGCGATGAGTGCTGTGCTGCACAGACAGAGCTGGGCGGAGCTGGAGTGAGCCCACGGGCTTGCATGTGGGAAGCCCAGGCTTTAGCAAAGAAACAGCCCATCCACAGACTCCTTCAGACTGCCAGCTCATGCTCAGCGGTGTTACAAGATAACCTGAGGCACATTAACATTTTGAAGAGTTTGAGAAACATTCATTCCAGTTGGACAGCGCCAAACCGGAAGTGGTTAGGAGACCTTCACTGACAGGAGCTAGGGGCAAGACTTTTGTAGAACAGATGCAGGAGCAAAGCAAGGCAATTACTTGATTTGGCTATTGCCTTCACCCTATTTGGGAAAGCCTTGTTGGCTGTTTATGATTGGTTGTCTCTAGGCTTTGATTTCACAACCTAGACGCATTTACAGGCCTAGGTTTTGGTTTGCTTATGTAGGCTGCCAAGGAATTAGAGCCACCTCAGTCTAATGGCCTCCTTGTTTAATTAATTTAACAAAGATCAGATCCTCTCCACACAGGCATGCCTCACACAGAGGTCAAGTGAGAAACTAGAGAATTGCTTGGAAAATACCCCTATCTCCATCCCTCTTCTGAGCCTCCTGTTTCTGGTCAAATGTCATGCAAGGAAAGGATTGATTCTTCGTGTTGACTGGCTAAAGTGGTCCTGCTAGGAATCGAGGGGGAAAGTATAAGATTACTTAACAAGATATCTTCTTGGAAGCCCTCTGATATTATGGTCACCTAACCCTTCTGTAAATTGCCTTTGTTTAACTCTTTCTCTCAACCTATAGGTCTTGCCCAATAAACCAGGGCAAGTACGAAGTATACAGTTATGAAAACAAATGCAAAACCTACTTTCCAGCCTCTACTTTCTTTGAGGATCCAGATTTAAAAACAATAGTAGGGGCCAGCCCTGTGGCCAAGTGGTTAAGTTCGTATGCTCTGTTTCAGCGGCCTGGGGTTTGTTGGTTCAGATCTCAGGTGCGGACCTACACACCACTTATCAAGCCACGCTGTGGTGGCATCCCACAGAGAAAAACTAGAATGACTTACAACTAGGATATGCAACTATGTACTGGGGCTTTGGGGAGGAAAAAAAAGAAGAAGATTGGCAACAGATGTTAGCTCAGGGCTAATCTACCTCACTAAAAAGCATTAAAAAAAAAGATAGTAATAAAATTCTTTACATATTAAAAACAAAGCGTTTTTAACCTTCTATACCTTTATGCTTCCAATTCTTTTTCAGACTGAATTCTCTCTACAAACACATGATTGCTTAATACCAGTGTCTGAGTTCCCTGTAATTTCCAGATCTCTGGGTTTCATTGTTAAATAGCACTGTCCAATATGGTAGCCACTAGTCAGTGGCTGTTGAGCACTTGAAATGTGGCTGGTCTGACTTGAGATGTATTGTAAGTGTAAAATATGTAGTTGATCTCAAAGACTTAGTACGTGAAATGGACAGATTCTAAGATGGCTCCCAATAATCCTGCCTCACACCCTTGTGGAATCTCCTCCCTTTTGAATGAGTGTGGGACCTGTGACTTGCTTTTAACCAATAGAACATGGCAAAGATGATAGGATGTCAAGTCCACAGTTATGTTATATAGATTGTAACTGTCATCTTGCTAACAGACTCTATTGCCTCTCCTTTTCTGGCTTTGATGGAGAGACCCGTGTGGCAAGGAACTGAGAGTGGATTCCAGCTGACAGCCAGCAGCAAGGTGAGACCTCTAGTCTGATAACTCACAAAGAACTGAATCCTGCCTTCAACCATGTGGTCTTGGAAGAGGATCTTTCCCCATTGCAGTCTCAGGTGAGATTCCAGCCCTGGCTGACGCCTTGACTGCAGCCTTGTGAGAGACCTTGAAGCAGAGGACCCAGTAAGTCGCGCTTAGATTCTTGACCCACAGACACTATGAGATAATAATTGTGTTCTTGTAAGCTGCTAAGTTTGTAGTAATTTATTATGCTCCAATAGATAACTAACACACAACCAAAAAAGAATGTAAACTCTCTCATCAATAATTGTTTAATTTTGGTTACTTGTTGAAATGATAACATTTTGGATATATTGGGTTAAATAGAATATTTTATCAAAATTAAATTTACCTGCTTCTTTTTACTTTTTAATGAAGCTACTAGAACATTGAAAATTTAAAATATGTGGCTTGCCTTATATTTATATTGGACAGCATTGGCATCGAACTTCAAGGAGACAAGAATTTCCTGTAGCTCATGTGGCCCAGCATGCCGGAGGGAGGTGGTTGTTACATCACTCTGTCGCTTACCGGGGCATGCTATTCAAACAGAAAATAGTCTATCACTTCTGGAAGAAAATGATTCACCTTTTTTGAAGATGGGGGAAGCTATTGTATAACTTTTGCCCAAAGGTGAAATCTGCTCAAGTCTTCTACTTTCAGATGCTGCCTTCAGGGTTTAATTTGTTTCAGATTAACAGCAGGTGGCAGATGCAATTAAAGGGAAAAAAACAGTTGCAAATTAAGCACATGATATTTTGAATTTCTTTATTTGCAATGGCAGCTACACATTCAGGGAATAAATGCTAATTATTTTGATTGTTTGTTTACTCATTGTGTCATATATGTGCCTTCTACTGATTAATGCCTCACAAGTTATGTTACATCCTTTATTGCTAATTAATAAAGTGATAATGCTGTGACTAGTGATTCTGAACTCTAGGAGACCCTTTCAAACCACACCCCTTCTGAAGGGTTTCACCTCCCCCAGGCATGTGCTGCCACCCACTCGCCAGGGAATTGCTGCTGTCCAGAGCTGTTGATGCTACAACCCTTCAGTGTGTTGGGACAGAAGAAGTGCTGAGAATAACTAACAGGTAACCAAGACATTTGGATATCCTGGGCAGGGTGACTAATTGTGCCTTTAAACTAAAATATTTGCACCTTTCCTTAGAGGAGAGTTTGAGAATTTTAAGGAAGGTGGCAGTATCACTTAACTCGTCCTTTATGATCTCAAGCAAATTAGCCAACAAAATAAAACAACAACAAAACAGGTTAACAGGTTTGATAGTACTTCCTTCAAGTACTTCCCCAAGTGTGTATAAACTATTTCTTCAAAACACATAGAGAATTCTCCAGAAAGGGGGTTTTACAGAAAATATTTCCTTCCTCATTTTACTTCTAGTGATGCTGTAGGGTTCCTTGTAGGGTACACTTGTCACTGTCTGGCAGTCCTCAACCTCAATTTGACTCTGGCCAGTCATAAACATATGTGCAAGAGGCTCAGTCAAATGAATCTCTAATGAGCAAATGTTTCTTAATATATAAAGAGTTCTAACAATAAAATAAGAACAAAACAGGTCCAAAGATTTGTTAGCTTGATGCCCAAAGATATGCGGAAAACTAACATCTATTGTAAATGTTCTAACTTCAAAAATGTACTTGAACCAGGATGTGTTGTCCTGTTGAGGCTGAAAGTGATTAAGAGGACTAAGTTCATGCCTCAGGGTACGATATCCTGTAATCATATTGCGCATACTAGTGTAACTGCAGGATTGAAAGAGGGCTCCAGGCCCAGCAAAGGTGGCCTCTAGTGCATGTTCAGAGGAGTTTATCTGCAGAACTGTTTTAGCCTTATGTATATAAGACTGAGGGCTGAGAGAGACCATTAAGCTTCTAGAAGGTCTGATCTCACCCTCGTGCAGCCAGATTTTATTATCTGCAATTTTGTGCATCCCTAAGAAGGATTTCAGGATCTGGAAACATGTTCTGACTATCCTGGAAAATATTGCAGCTCTCTCTGCTGTGAAGCCTGACTGACTGCACTGACTTGCTTCTGTAGCTTTTCAAGAAGTGGGCTCTATTTGATCAAGCAAGTGACCTCCGAGCCCAGTGTCTCCTCCCCCTGACCACACTCTTGATGTGTCACTTCTGTGGACAGGCAAAATTTATGGAGAACAATTCACAAAAGGAGAATCCTAAATGGTTAATAAATAGCTGAGAAGAAGTTTAATCTCACTATAGTGAAAATGGAAATTAAAAATGAGGGATTTTTCTTCTATGAAATTAAAAATATATATTAATCACTCTCACATTTAGCAAAGATTTGTGAAGTAGCCAGACTCACTGCTGTTGTGAGTGGACATTTCTGGAGGACGAGTCGGCAGTTGATTTCAGGACCCAAACTTCCACTTTTAGGAATATATCATAAGAAAGTAACCAGAATTGAAATCAAAACATGTGTATAAAGATGTTTATGAGGTTATTATAATAGGAACAAATGTCCCATTAGAAAGAATATTATACAGTCTTTATGAATAATGTTTTTGAGGAATATGTAATAACAAAGAAAAATACAGTAAAACCTGTCAAAAACATGTTCTGAGATAACGCAGATTCAGATACAACACTATTGGCTCTCATCCTCATTAGCAACCCTTCTGTAACAGGCAGGCACTAAAGTCCCAACGAGATTTTCACATATTCAGGTATATGGGGTAGGTATTCTGGTTCAAACCTGATTGGGCTTGAACTAAAGAAGCCTATCAAATATACATTGTACATCTGCTTTAACCATTAAAGTAAAGAATGCACGCCTTTTTAAAAAATTGTTATTTTTTTTGCAGGGAAGAATTCACCCTGATCTGACCTAACATCTGTCACCAATCTTCCTCTTTTTCTTTTTCTTCACCCCAAAGCCCCAGTACATGGTTGTAGATCACAGTGGTAAGTCCTTCTAGTTCTCTATGTGGCTGCCACTACAGCAAGGCAACGGACGGACAGGTGGTGTGCTTCTGAGCCCAGGAAATGAACTGGGGCCATGGGGGTGAGAACGCAGAACTTTAACCACTCGACCATCAGGGCTAGCTCAGAGAAGGCACTCGAGATAGGAACGTATACTTCCCCTCCTGTGAGGCCGGTATCAGTAATGTCCTATTGGTAAAACCAGTATTAGTACTCCTGAGGGTCAAGGTCATGTTGACCTGCTAATTTGCAGCTGAATACCTTTTTGAAACTTTGATCAATATGTATCCTGGGCGTGTTTAATGCATGTTCTTTGTTCTGAAAAGGTTATAAGACTGTACCAAAAACCATGCTTCTCCAGAACGCTTTCTTCCTTTGTGGAAACTGCCCTCCAGGGTTATAATCCTCCCCTAGTGTTACCACACAAAGTGGGGATTCACTCACCCCATGTGCATAAACAGCCAATTAATTACAGCAACGGCTTTTGGGAAAAGAGATCAGCTTTATTCTGCAAGATCAACCTACAAGGAGACAGGCGGCGCGTACCCTCAGATCTGTCTCCCTGACTCAGGATTTGGGGTGAAATTGAAGAGGTTAGGGAGAACAGGCTGGCACGCGGAAACGCTGGTGGGACAGGTTTTGATTGGTGGGCCTCAGGCATTTATGGTAAGGTTCTAAACATTTATGACAGGGTTCTAAACATTTATGATGGGGTTCTAAACATTTATGATGGGGTTCTAAACATTTACAATGGGGTTCTAAACTTCTATGACAGGGTTCTAAACATTTTTCATGAAGTGGGAAAGGAATTTTAACACTGGATCTTCCTGAATAAGAGACCCCTTGCTTCTGATAACAGTCTGACTTTCAAGTTCTGGTCATGTCCGGGTCCTTGGGTCCCATGGGAGAGAGGATCTTTGGTTCTGCAGTCATTTCAGGTCTAGATTTCCTCTTCTGTGTATGCTCTGGCCATGTGACTTTGGTCATTTTCCAAAAGGGAATTCTTTTTTTTTTTTTGGTTCTGACTGGGCTAAGTGGCTTTGTTAGAGAAAGCCAGGATTACAAAGGATTTAAGAGTTGGCATTGGGGCCCTTCTTCTTCCCAAAGGTGGGCACAACATTGCTAAAGCGCCAGTTGTACTGCATCAGCCACTTGTCCTGGGAAAGGCAATTCTTGATCACTCTGTTGATAAGAGATGGGGTCAGTTGAACTGGTCCTGGAGGCCCGGTGGTTACAGGGACTCAAGTAAAACTCACCTTCTCTCACTTATCTACAAAATGGTTATTGGTTACTTTGCTTCCACAGTCCCTCTTTTCTGGGGTGTGGGGAATGTAGAGCGAGGACAAGGCTGGGTAGGGAAACAACAGACATCCCTTCTTGGAAAACAGGCAAGGAGAGAGTTCTGCCCCAGTGTTCTTCTCCTAGCTCCAAAAGATTCCAGAAATTGTCACTGCTGTCCTGGAAGTCCCATCAACCCCTGAACCCAGAATCATCTCCTATAATATTTGGAGCAGATAAATACCACTAGGTGCACCAAACTGAAGCCCTGGCTGGATGAGGATGTTGTAGAAATCCTGGCTGGCCACCTTTATCAGTTACCCCAGTTATTTCATTAACCTTGTAGTAATGTGACCTCAAATTTTGTGATTAATTTTTTTTACTGTTTTCTATTGAGTGAAAAAAAGCAAGATAGAAAACTTCGTGCACATTTGCTCCTAATTCAACAAAACAAATAAGCAAGGTCTAATTATATATATAAACAAAAAGAAGACATTAAAAAATTTATTATTACTGGTTACTTCTTGTTAGCGGGCTATGGGTAATTTTAATATTCCTTATTATACTTTTCTATATTTCCCAAATTTTTCTATATCGGTCAGGTATTACTCATAAAATCTGAAAAAGAAAAAAATATGTAAAAGACTACCAAGAGGAACTTTGTTTTTTTAACTCAGACAACTATATACAAATATATGGTTCTGCGCAGAGAAATCCCTCTTCACTTTAGCTAATTAAATTCATCTGGTCTTATTTTATTGGCTGACTCTAACAGAATGCTTCTTCCTTAGAGTGACATCTTAAAAGTATCTTGGATAAGATGTAAGCAGCATCTGCTTTAGATATTGTTGAGTGGAATCTTGAACTGTGTTAAGATTTAGAAAGGATTTCACAAAGCCTGGAAATGTCCCTGCGTCAGGCTCAATGTAACATTTCACTCAATGTACCATTGTGTTCTATTTTATAACATTCTTTTGGTTTATAAAAAGATTTAATCCAAGTTTCCTGGCCACTTAAAATTTTACGAATGTCTTGTAGCATAAGGGGCGCTGCTGCTTTCAACCTACCCTAAAGCGAACGACGTGGGAAAACAAAGGGACATGGAAATAGGACTAAGAATCATGCAAGTGTGAAAAATACATGCACTTTCCCATTCTTCCAATTTCATCATTTCCAAGCAGAGGATCATTGAGGGTCCACAAGCAAATGGCAAACGATGCAGCACTGTTGCACCCGGAGATTTTTTCCTGTGAACTGGGGGTGGGATTTCAATTACGCTGGAATTTAATTACCCGGATTAGGCCTCGACTCCGCCTCCTGCCTGGGAATGGAAGGGGAATCTTCAAAAGATCCTTATAGGAAAGGAGCCGCCTCAGCTGGGGCCTTCCCCCCAGGCAAGCTCTGCCCAACCCCCAGCTCCTCTTCCCCGACAGCCTCCAGAACTCGAGGCCGCAGGCTGACACAATTAGGAAACCAATGCTTTGCTGGGTGATTCCTCATTGTTTTTTCTACAGCTGAGCCCTTCCTTTTTCTTCATTTTCTGTGAAAGTTTTTTTGTGTGTGTGCCGTCCGGACTCGAGAGAATTGGTCTCACTGTTGTCATAGGATGGATGAACTGAGGCAAAACTAGAATTTCTGTGGAAGAACCTGTGAACGGTGGAAGGAGGGCTCCTAAAAAGGAGGAGGGCAATTCCGAGGCCCGGGGCTGGAGAAAGTCGGCTTTCCACGCGCTCGCTTTGTGGGATTCGATTTTATCTATTTGTGAATGAATAATGGTACAAAATTAAAACAGTACAAACCAATATGTAATGAGAAATGGGTCTTACTCCTTCTGGTCCCTGGCCAGACAGTTCCTTTCCTCAGTGGCAAGCGTCCCTATCAATTTCTTGGGTATCCCTTTGGAAATAGTCTTTTTCTGTCAGGTTTTTTTGAGCTGTTTTTTAAAAAACAAAGATAGTACCATACTGTTCCCACTGTTCAGTGCCTTCCTTTTTTTTTCACCTACAAATATATCTTGGAGATTTTCATTTGTAGAACTCTTATTAATGACCTATAATTTTTCATGATATAGATATGCTATCATTTCCTTAGCTGGGCCCCTGTCTTTGGATAATTAGGTGATTTCTAATCCTTTTACTGTTCCAAACAGTGCTGCAACAAACGCTTAAACATATATCCTTTTGCATTTCTGCAAGTATATCTGTAGGCGAAATTCCTAAAATTAGAATTGCTAGGTCTATGGGACATGTATTTTTAATATTGATAGATGTCAGATTCCTTTCCAGAATCCCATCAGCATCAAGGATGTTGGCAAGCATCCTTACCAACACAACGGAGTCACCGAATTTAAATTCTGGCTGAAGGAATTAAGAGTTACTTCTTTCCCTTTCATTTCCTTAAGAAAAAATCCCCAGGATGCTTAGAGGTGGGCATCCTTCTACTCAATTTGCATCTGAAAATACTTACAATTCTTTCACTTTACATTTGTTTTTTTATTTGGATGAAGCTTAAGACTTGAGAGAATTTCTTTGAGAGCTTCTAGAGGGGAAAAAAGGAACTAAGAGTCAAAGAAGCTCCTTGTGGTTTATTAGCTTTATAAGGCTTCAAAAATTCAGGTCTTTTATTCTCAGCACAAAGGAGAGTTTTTGCTTTATTTTTTGACAGTGAGCGCTGAGGGACGGCTATGGCCAGCAGAGGGCAGCACGTCCCCACAGAGTCAGGCTGTGACTCCATCAGCCGATTCAACATGCTCCAGCCCGGGGATTTAGAACCTATTCAGTCACAAACGCTAATTCACTTTGTTACCTTCACTGCCATCTCATGGTTGGAGCAGACTGGAGTTCCTGAGCAGGGAACAAAGCTCAGCCGAAAAACCAGGGTAAATGAAATTATTCAATGCCAGCCAAGTCCAGGGTGGCATGGAATAAGGGGGAAGAGTATTGTGAACATAACAGCACCATATTGAAGAAGAAAATTTAAATGAAATATTTTATTTCAGCCACCGTTTCTGCTATAAACCATGAAAGGAATATCCTTTATTGGATTAATATTATGTTTCATACTCATTTTGCTGAGAAGTGCTAAAAATGTCAGGTAATATCTTTTACTTCCCTAGAAATGGGATTTATTGTTTTACCTTAAAAAAGCAAATTAACCTGCTCCCTTAATATTAGTCCATTCAACCAGCAAATGTTGAGTGCCAAGCGTAGAGGATGTGGGGTAGAGAAAGACACAGCCTCTGCTCTTATTGGCAAAGCAGAAAACACTTGGGACCTGGGGCAGGAAACCGATTCTAGCTTTCGGTGAGGCGCGTAACTGGCTATGTAGCCTTGGGCAAGTTACTTAACTTCTCTGTGCCCCAGAAGTGAAAATTAAACTAATGCCATCTTCCCTACTGACTTCTTAGATGCACATGTGAAATGCCACATGCCAAGATGCTTGAAAAAAAGAGCAAGTGCTATCCAAATGAAAGATTTTTCTTTTCTTTTTTTTTTTAAAGATTGGCCCTGAGCTGACATCTGTTGCCAATCTTTTTCTCTTTTTTCCTTTCTTCCCCACAAAGCCCCCCAGTACATAGTTGTATATTCTAGTTGTAGGTCCTTCTTGTTCTTCTATGTGGGACGCTGCCTCAGCATGGCTTGATGAGCGGTGCCATGTCTGCACCCAGGATCCGAACCAGTGAACCCTGGGCGGCGGAAGTGGAGCATGTGAACTTAACCACAGGGCTGGCCCCCAAATGAAAGATTTTAAAAGCCACATTATAATGAACATATCCTATAGCAATAGAAGTCACAGCTTAATGAGTCCTTACAAAGTGCCAGGCAGTCTGCTAAACATACACATTATCTCACTTAAGATCATACCCCTGTGAGGCAGGTATTATTAGCCCATTTTCCAGACGAGGAAATTGAGGTGTTGGGAGGTCAGGAAGCTCACCAAAAGTCAGATTGTTACAAAGTGGAAGATTCAAATCCAGGTCTGGCTCGAGAGTCCACTCCGAGGTGTGTCAGTCTGGTTCTTCGTCATTCCTCACAGTTCTGCACTTAGAAATTATGGGTATTGATCCCTTAATTGTACTCACAAGAGAACTATCATCAAAAAGTTAGGTCATATGCTATTTCATGAACAACATTAAAACTTAAAGCTATGACTTTCCGCACGTACATCAATTTATGGAATCAACTGGTTTCAAGATTACTTCATGAAATAATTTCTCTGTAAAAATGAAAATTGGCCATGTGTCTTAAGAAAACTTCTAGGATAACTGATGAGTTTCACTATTTAGTCTAGTGGCCTGAGCTACTATTGGCTAAGGGAAAAGCAAACAAGAAACTATGGAAAACCAGGACCAGAGGAGAATGAATAGGAAGA